AGATCGGTGAGTTGTTTGTTTCTTAGCATCGAGGTTAAAGCTCAGAGGATATGGGGGAATCCATGCAGCCCCTATTCTGCTATTCAAATAAAAAATTATGAACACTGCTTACTTTTCTTTCGTGAATTTTTTTCTGCCCTGGAGGATAAATATGTGGGAGTCATGAGTTCTTACTTATAAACGTCCCAGGTCTTTTGAAACAATTACTAGCAGGACAAGATCAGGGTCCGGAAACAGCCTAATTACTCCAACTGGCAACTGATTAAGTCCATCCACTTCGGAACGTGCTCAAATAGCACGGGGAACAGATCCAGTGGCCATCTGAGAAAGGTCAGTCGAGTTCCCACCAAAAAACGTTTCATAAAGACAAAGCCAGACTCCGGATTTGTGTGGAAAATGTTAAACATGCTCCGAGCTGGAAAACTCAGAGACTCCCACACTGCTGATGGCCTGCAGACGACTATTCAGTAAATGACAAATCTTCCAAGAAGCTGAGCTTAATTACTCAGAGGTTGTCTAAAATCAGCACTTGAATTGGCCAGGTCTCCCCTATCCCTGGCCAAGCTAAGTGCAGGTTCCTCCCTTGTGAGTAAGCTCTTCTGAAAGTAAGGAAGCTTTCAGTCCACAAGGTATTTACTTCTAAACACAAACAGACATACATGCAAACAGTTTTGACAAAGAACAAAAAACCTGCTTAACGTTTCCTTCTGAGATTAACCATGTGCACTTAGGTAAAGGGGGAAAAAAGTTTTGTTTTGTTTTTCAGGGTCATTGAAAAGTCATTTAAGTCTATAGTAATTCTTCTTTTGCCACATACTTTAATTTTACTTTTTTTCAAACAAGAGGTGTTCTTGTGGGCTTATTAAAAAGCAACAGACTAATTAGAAATAGCGCTGATATAAATTTTCTCCAGTAAATAGGAAAATTAGATTTTCCTTTTTAGTTTAATTTTTTTATTCTTTAATTAGAACATAGTTCTAAAGCTCGCATTCATACAATACTTTCAAATTTACTTTGCATTCCATTTGGAGAGACAAATCTGATATCTTTATTTGTGATTATTAAAGGCTCATTACTGTATTTGGAATGTCTAAGGTTGGCAGGCGGGCCTGGGATTCTTACCTCTCAAAAAGCAACTCATCCTCTACCCACTCCCCCAACCCCCCAAAAAAACAACTCCAAACTGGCATTACTTATGCTAGCTGTAGGGAAATAAATAACAAATACAAAGTTTCCTAAAATACTCAACATGTATTTGCATAAAATAAAGAGGAAAAACTTTATTGCAAAACTCATCTATAGTTAAAGATGCAATCTGAAGTCCAGTTTGATCAGGAGGCTAATTAAGGGACGTTTTCAGCCAAAGTAGACCCAAATGAGTTTTTTTGGGTTTTTTTTTTTTTTCTTAAGGTCCTGAGATCATTTCTATCCTTGCTTTTTTCCCTCACACAACATTAGGTTTTCCCAATGTTTTAACATTTCCTTGGAGATGGCTAAGTAACAGGGTTCAGTCACAATAACAATCAACATGGTCTTCTATCCTACACTTAGCGAATCTGTTCCCAGCTGGCCTTTCACGTTAGCCTCCATTCCAGCTTAGTAGAACTGACAACCATACAAATTCGGACTAGAGAAAAATATTAAAAATACAACTTAAACATTTACTTTTAGGGCAGCAAAGAGGGATGGAAACTTCTACCACATTCCCAAAAGTAGAGATGTTAATGGTCTCTTCTAGTAACTACAACTGCAAATAAGCCAGTATTCCCAGGCCATTTTAGAGAAACATGTAAGACCGTCCTAAACTACAAGAAATGCTTACCTTGCTGAAAAGGGAGGCAGGTCTGCCTCCACTGGCCTATGAAAATCAAAGCCCCAAGTCTGACTACCTCACAAGTATCCCTGCCAAGTTCCAGCTTTTGCTTTCCTGGGATAGTCAACTTTTTCAGACAAATTAAAAATGAGAGGCAAAGAGACCTAAATAGTACTTTTTAACCTACCCTTCAAGATACAACACAACTTACATCTGAGAAAAAAAGGGTCATCTCAAGGTTCTGTGGCTTTACATTTGCCTCATGGACAAATCTCTAAAGTTCTGTTGGCCTGTTGGTTAGGGGGCTCACTTTCCAGTATATAGAGTTAGCTCTTCAGATTCTCAGTTTTCTAAAACCGAGCACAGACTACGCCCACCAAATACTTTAGAAAAATCTCATATAATCTTTGTTTTCTTTAATAAGGGCCCAACTTTACTGTAGCTACGGTGCTCACTCAGCTGAGGGTCCAGTCTCCTCTCAAATGCTATCTTACTGGATGGAACTGATTTCTTAACAAATACACATGTACGCCTCATACCTTGTGCTTACGTGCACTCCCCTGCCCATGTAAATTCTGGCCCACCACAAAGAGACCTAAGCCTCAGGACAGCCGTTCCTATCTCCCAGTCCAGGCTCTCAAGGATTGGTCTCACTGCAGTGGTTCTTGTTGTGGTCCTCAGAGCAGCAGCATCAACATCACCTGGGAACTTGTTAGAAATGCACATTCTCGGGCCCACTCCAGACTTACTGAATCAGAAACTCTGGGGCTGGGGCCCAGCTCCCCAGGTGACCCATATCCTCAAGTTTGAGACGCACTTTTGCACTGCAGTAACTATCAAACCATCACTGTTTGTACCCTCAGAGCCTGCAGGGGTCACTAAAGGCCAGCTAGAAGAATTACTGGAGCAGGAAACAAGTTTTACAGAACCTGCCTGCCTGACCACACAGTTCCTTCTATCGGTTCCTTAACAGCTGCCTCAGCCTCCTCCAGTGAATTCAAAGCTCACAGTACTTCTCAGTTTTGAAGAGGAACTGGACTGAAATTCTTCTCACAGCAGCATAATAAACCTACAATTTTCAGGGATGCCATCAATATTTAATTATTTTGAAGGATTTTGTGTTTAATACAACATACTTTAAGAATGAAATGCCAATACTGACTAAACAGAAAATAAAAAACTTAAAGTATCCTCATCTATGTATCTGAACAATAATGCACTTGATCCGAAAAAATGATGAGAGTTCCTACCTTTAAAATTTCACAGAATTGATGTAGACAAAAGTGAGCAGAGGATTTTTCTAACGTAAAGCATGCATACAGGCAGTCATTTGCTGGATTCTGTCAAAACCCTGAATTTTGCATTAACTGTTTTACTACAAACATCTCTAGTGATGATGTGGAGCAACAAGAATTCTCACACACTGAGAATTGCGTAAATCAGAACCACTTTGGAAAACTGTCTGTTTAGCAGTGTCTACTGAAGCTGAATATACAAGTACTTAGGAGAAGCAATTCCACTCCAGGATATGCACCCTATGGCTCTATCTACCCTAGGAGTGTAATTCATAATAGTTACCAATTGCAAACAATCCAAATGTCCATCCACAGTAGAGGAGATAAAGTATATGGATAGTCATACAATAAAATATATACAGCCATGAAAACACAAACCAACCAACAAACTGCTACATACAATATGGATGAATCTCACAGGCATAATGCTGAGTGAAAGAAGTCAGACACAAAGGAGCAAACACTGATCCTAACAGGCAAAACGAATCTCTGGTGACAGAGGTCAGCAAAGGTTATTGGGGCTGTCTACCAAAAGGCATGAGGAACTCGCTGAAAAAGTTCTGCATCTTGACCTGGAGCAGTGTTACAGGGTACTGTATTTCCCCATGTATAAGACGCACCTTTTTTCTAAAAATGTGGGGTCTAAAAACTGGGTGCGTCTTCTACAGTGGTTGTAGATTTCAAATGCCATAGATGGAACTGAGGAAGAGGCAATATATGAAGACAGTGATTCGTCATCAGACACAGATGAGGACAAGCTAATGGTTGGGAGTTTTGACAGTGATGAGGAGTTGTATGAATTTTATGATGAATAAAACTTGAGTTCAATAACTTTATGTAATACTTTTTTTTTTCAAAGTTTGGGCCCCAAAATTAAGGTGCATCTTATACGTGGGAGCGTCTTTTACATGGGGAAATACGGTATATACATATGAAAAGCTCATTGAATTGTACACTTAAACGTGTCCACTTTAAGTATGTATACCTCTTTATAAAGGGAGAAGTTAAACATACACACAAAAATACTGACAAGCTGCCATGTAACAATTTTCAGTATCCATAAAAATCTACATCACTGGGCAATTACATCGTCATCAGCAAAACTGCATTTGCTGAGCTAAATCTTAAAAATTAAATACAGCATATGATGGATTTTCCTTATTTCCAAAGTTATGCCAGCATATCAACACATCATTCTATAAAAGGGCCAAACTTTTCTGGCTTGCACTCCCTAGTCCCAAACTCCTTTCATTCTGCCACTTAACAGGGCCTATCGTGTGGCAACGGACTGTCCATCAAAATAAGCCCCTGCGGCCCTGGATGGCTGATCAAAATCCAGGGGGAGGCTGAAAGGGCTGGCTCCAGCACTGATGTCATTACCTCCCCTCCTTAATCTCTGGGTCACCCCTGTCCTAGCCCCTACCACCATCCAGCTTTCCTCCTGCCTCCCGGTCCAACGCTTGTCTCAGGGCAGGGGCCATGTGCAGGCAGCGCAGTCTCCGAGGCCATTCCGGGCCTAGCGGATCCTAGCTTCCGATCCTTTAGGAACCCAGACCCCGCTGCTGACTGGGGGACACCCAGTTACACCCCCAGGGCAGACACCGCCGGGCGCCCGCTCTCCGCAGGCCCGGGCCGCTCCCCGCAGCTCCCCCCTGCCTACGCTCGGTCCGTGTCTGCGCTTCCGGCTTTGAGTTTTGAAAACCACAGCTGGCTGTAACGTGTGACCAAGATGAGGGGGACAGTGTGTTCGGGGAGAGAATCCAGGCGGGCAGCCGGGACCCAGGGGCGCGCAGGGCGCGTGCGGGCTCCGCCCGGGAGGTGGGAGCCGCAGGGGCCGCCCCGCCGGCCGCTCAGCCGGTCCTGGCTCGCCGCCCCGGGGCGCGTGTGTTTACCTGGAAGCAGAAACACGAGTTGCCGGGCGCCAGCGCCATCCCTGCGGTCCACGCGGCCCGCCATGCCGCCCGCCTTCTCCTGGGGCCCAAACGCGGCGCCTGAGGGCCCGGCAGCCGCCGGTCTCAGCCCTCGGAGCGCGGGGCCTGGCTGGAGCCTGGCGGGAAATGGCGGGAGAAGGGTCTATTCCGGGTGGCGCGGCGCGCCGAGGGCCTGGCGGGGCGCAGCAGGCGGCCCGCGGGACCACTTTGGTTTCGTTTCCGGAGCCAACCGGCTGCTCCTGTTAACTTTTTAAATTTAGCGCCAGGTGGAGGCAACCCAAATACTGGCGCCTAACCCCGGCCTCTCCCCTCCGCTTCTCCGCCAGTGGTAGTTGCTCACCCAGGGCGCCGAGTGACGCTGCGCGCGGGATGGCGACCCGGGGACGCGACGGCGGGCGGGGTCGCGGCCCGGGGCGCCAGGTTGCCACACTCAGTGGCCCTCCCGTCGAGGTGGTGGCGCGGCCGAGGGACCCTTCCGCCCCCAAGCGGGAGAGATGGCGAGGCCGGCCCGGGAGAGGGGAGTGGGGCCCCGGGACGGATGACGCACCCCCCTCGGAAGACACTCGCACACAACTGGCAGAGAAGAAAAGCCTGGAGCGAGTCCATGTTAAGGACAATAGCTGTCATCATATCTGAACCCTAATGTACTCTTAGTTTTCAATGTATCTTGATCACCAGTTGCATTTTGCGTTGGAATTAATGTCAGAATATTGTGTGCTGTGTGGTTTCACAACACATGTAAGTAGTCCTCAAATTGGGCTGAGAGAGTCCTTATCACTAACAAGAGGTGCACAATTTGAGGCTCAAAATATGAATTTGTTATTTTGGAAGACTCTTAGTGATGAGTTAAAAATTAAGACATTTTTGAAAATGATGTTTAAAAGATTAGGGACTGCGAAGTTTGGGGATTTAAGCTTTTGAAAATGAAATTTAATTGTAAAAGTGATGCTTGGTACATGATTTTAAAAAAGAAGATGATAGATATTTTTCTCATACTTTAAAGAAAAGCATGTCTTCCTCCTACCCCAGATCTCCAGTCCCTCCTCCCTCCAGAACAATTACTGTTTACAATTTCTTGTCTATTCTTCCAGAAGTTTTCCATGCATATACACATTCACGAGTCTTGCTTTTTGCACAAATGGAAAAATAATATACAGAGGGTGCAAAAAAAAGTTTAAACATTTCAAGAAAGGAAAACTATTAAAATTGTAATAATATATACTGATAACAGAAAATGAACACAAGTCACATTTGACTTCTGCAATTACAAGAGGTGCTCAAAGTGGTTACCATCAGCGTCCAGACACTTCTGATTACAGTGAACTAATGCTTGAGCAACGTTGACCAAAGTGTCCACTTGTATACGTGTTTTTGGCACCCACAGTGTATATATATAACTCTTAATGCACTTTGCTTTTCCTGTTTCATCTTGAAGATAGTGAAATTAGGCAGTGCTATCTATCTCAGCCTTCTGAAAAGATTTCTAGTTTCAATCCTATTTCCCATGGAGGGAGACAGCTGAAGGTGACTGCAGGACATACCTGGTGAAGAGAGGAGCACCCAGATGCCAACTCTGGGGCATGCAGCAAATTGGTATTGCTCTGATCTCTTCCCTCTCCCAAGATTAAGCTGTGGGAAAAGCTCTGGAGTGTAGGCTAAATCTCCAGGCAAACAATAATCATGATAAACAGCTACGAGAGGAACGTTACCCACAGTTCCCATGCTCAAACATACAGAGTTGTTTTTATTTTTCTCTGATCCTTTCCAGCCGTTGGCTGTATGAATACATGTTTTTATGTGGTGGTTCTCACAGTGTAAAGACAATTTTGTCTGCTGTTCTCCCTTTACATTGACATAAACATATTGCCTATGGCATCCAGAATTATCATGGTTAATGGAAGCATGTTATTTCACACTGCTCATGTACCAAAATTACCTAGCTATTCCCTAGTTGTGCAATATTTAGGTTATTTGAAAGTAGTATAAATAATGCTACTATGTACGAGGTCTGACAATTAAGTTCAGGAACTTGTTGCAATGATGTTGCTAATCTTTTTTGATATTAAAGGGATTATTCATTATGAATTAGTACCAACTGGACAAACAGTTAACCAAGTTTACTATTTGGAAGTGCTGAAAAGGCTGCATGAAAAAGTTAGACAAACTGAACTTTTTAACAACAGTTCATGGCCCTTGCATCATGACAATGCACCAGCTCACATGGCACTGTCTGTGAGGGAATTTTTAGCCAGTAAACAAATAAGTGTATGAGAATACCCTCCCTACTCACCTGATCTGGCCCCCAATGACTTCTTTCTTTCTCCGAAGATAAAGGAAATACTGAAAGGAAGACATTTTGATGACATTCAGGACATCAAGGGTAATACGACGACAGCTCTGATGGCCAGTCCAGAAAAAGAGTTGCAAAATTGCTTTGAAGCGTGGACTAGGTAGGTGCTGGTGTTGGTGCATAGCTTCCCAAGGGGAGTACTTTGAAGGTGACCATAGTGATATTTAGCAATGAGGTATGTAGCACTTTTTCTAGGGTGAATTCACAAATTTGTCAGACCTCGTATACTGTATATGGACTATGCAGCAGTTCAAAGCAACGAACTAAATGCACACATGATGAACTAGATGCACACATGACAACATGGATGCTTTATATCAAGATAAAAAGGTGCAGGAAGAGATTTATAGCAGAATACTATGTAGTTAAAAACACACATGAAGCAACATTATATATTTTATAAGGATCCATGCACATTTAAGGCCATCTAGCAAACACATAAGAAATGGGTATCTTTAAAATAGAGGGGAATGGGAAAAGGGATGGGTAAGGAAAGAGGGGTCAAGGAAAATCAAGAGAGGGACCAGGGCACACATGGACAACTGTCACTATGTCCTATTAATGAGACCATAATTAACTCTCACATTTAGGTCCAAGGGCAAAAACTTTTTTTTTAAACGTGCTATCACAAACATCTATAAACAATTTCCTTTACCCACTTAAAAAAAATAAGTACCTTCTTGGAAGGGGGATCAGTGGTGATGTTGGAGACTCACTGTAAATCTCTGTTGTCCTCAGAGTAAAGTCCAAGGTACTGTGCTTTCAACACATGGCCCTTGAAATCTGGTCCTCACCCCTCCAACCACAGTTCCTACCACCTCCCTGTCCCCACCCTGTCCACAGTCTGGCCATCAGGAATTGCCTTGTGTCACGTCCAGCACTTGACATGGTGTTCTCAATGCTGGGACCACTCGCTCTCCACTAGCGTCATTCCTCTGCCTTCTCCCTCACTCTCCACTGCTGCCTGGACACCTTTTACTCATCCTTCAGGTCTTCCTTAGACAATGCCTTCTCCTTAGCACTCCTCTTCCTGCCTCCCAACCTTCTCACTGAGAATGAGTGAAATGCCTCCAACCTTCCCAGCTATCATACTGGGGAGTGGAGCCTGACTCTCAGTCAGTTCGTGGAGAGGACAGCATCTAGTAATTCACCATTTTCTTCAAAAAATAGCAATGGCTTTAACTGAGGACTGTGACAAACTCTGCATTAAATGCTTAACTCAGATTTCTCTTTCAGTCATCCAGAAGCCTTAGGGGAAGTGTTAGTATGATCCCCACATTTTACAGAGGAAAAATGTAAGTTTGAGAGACCAACTAATTCCCCAACATGCACAACCAGCAAATGACAGAGCAGGACTTCCAACCCAGAGATCGAGCTCTTAACCACTGTTCTCTCCTAGTGTCCCCATGCCTAGGGCAAAGCTGTATGGGCACATCAAGTGCTCAGCAAATATTTCCTGAACAAACATATATGTGGATAGATAGGCAGTTATGGAAACAGTCAGTGTGGCATGTGGCATTACGTATATCAAAATATTCTATAAATTAATTTTAATACTAGGCCTGCAAACATGCAAAGAGACAAGCAAATTTTCTGTAAAAAATAAGAAGGGAATAGCAACCTCTAAGTACAGGATCATAGAGACTTTTCTAAATGGCAGAAGCAAGAGATGTTCATTTTCTAGTTTAAAAAAAAAGGAACTGGGGGAAAAAAAAAAACAGTTCAGAGTCAGATGACCTTTAGCAATACTTAAGTGATCAGACCACAGAGAGCTTGAACTAAGTGTAGTAAAAGAATTAACTAAGGGTAGTGAAAGAATTATTTTTCTCTTATAGACTATTAAAAGCATATGAAAATGCTTTTTTCAAAACAAAAGTGAAATTCCACATTTATCATCACTTTTGCCTTGAGAAAAGATTATGCCTTGTTTTTGTCTTGTTTCCAATTGCTCACTTAGGGACAACAGAGAAGGCAACATGGTAGGTAAGCATCAACCGGAGAGGAGAAAAGGATCAGCTCTCGAAAGGGCCAACTGTTTAGAAAAGGGACCAGTGGGTAGTACTGAACTGTCCTTTCCAGGGAGAGTATTTCCTTTATATTTTCTCTTTTATTTTACCCAGTCCAAATTGGATTGTACTTGTTACAAAAGGAGAAGTGTAATCCGTCAGTTATAGAATAACTGAAGCTTTTGAGAAAGAAAGAGGAGCAGCCCTTCACAAAAGAAGCTGGCCCAACGCTCACAGCCAGACTATGTGACCCTCCCTGTAGACATAAACAGTCTCCCAGAATACCACCAGCCTCAGACAAGGCTGCTCTGAGGCCATGATAAAATGAGACAAAGCAAGTGCACTTCATGATTTTGGCAAAGCACAGACAAAAACAGGTGACTGTGTCACCCACAAGATACCAAACACCCTCTCTTGGCCAAAATGAGTGACTGCTACTTCTTTCCCAATTACAGCTTAATCCTCATTTCGGCTTCCCCTCCCTGTAGACAAGATTCATTGGGATATCCACTCACAGAATTGCCATGCTTTCTAATGGCATCCAATCTAGAGTGAGCCCCTGTTTCCTTAGACCCTCTCCCAGTCACCCAACTAAAGCCCAAATTCTCTAAAGTTTCCTTCTAACGCCCTCTTATTGAGACACCCATGATTTCCCATGGCCTGTGTCCTCCTTCCCCAAAACGAGGTACAAGTCAACTTGTTTAACTACAGGTGTGCTCCGGGGGCTCTTTGGCTGAAGCGTATTTAAGTATAGAAACACATTGTTGACCTCATTAGATGCAAGTGGTATTCCCTCCTTCTATGATGGAAAATTTGAGGTGAGAAATAAATGAAAGGTGCCAAGTATGTAACCCACCTGCTGGCGTGGCAGAGCCAGCACCACTGGGGACCTTTATTCCCTAATCTGGGTCATTCCAGAAACAAAATTTCAGGGCCTATCACATTGATCCTATTGCTTTTGTCCCTGAGTTTTCTGTT